TGGGTGGATGGATGTGTGGATGGATGGATGCCTCTCAACTCCACACCCCACCACCTGGGCCTCTCTGGGAGGGGAAATGGCGCTTTACCTTCTCCAGGTAGTTAAACTCCATTGCGATCTCCCGGAAGAAGAAGTAGATGTGGCCGCCCCACTCCACGGCATGCACAAAGTAGGGCTCTACGGGAGAGGAGGGGTCAGAGCCCTGCCCTGACTTGAGAAAGGGTGCATCTAGAGCTGGGAACGCGTCGGCCTGGGTGGCTGCTTTTGTGGTGAAGGGTGGAAATCAGTTGATTACCCAGACAAAAGAAAACAGACTCAAAGTTCTGGGGTTTTGAGGGAAGTGGTGAGTGTCAGAGGCCTAAATCACGGTGTCTACCCTCCACAAATAGCAACATCTACTATTTTTGTCACCTTCCTCCCTCATGTGCTAAAGAGCTGAGCTCCTGCTATACCTCTCTTGTAGTTCCATTTTGGGCTTCCAAGCCACTCATTGGTTGATACTTGGATGGTCTCTGAACTGGGATTGAACCCGTAACCTTGACATATTGGGACAATGCTCTAACCAACTGAGCTACCCGACCAGGGCTAATCTTTCCTCTAGCTTTGTCTTTAAAGAGGCCAGTTGGTTCCAAAGATGAGATGGGCGCCCCCTTCCTGTCTCCTCTGGGGCTGTTATTCTGGTGGGGTGGAGGGGGGGAGTTTGATGAATGTCCATCCCACCTTTAAACCACTTGGAGTCGTGTTTCACGGTGCGCAGAGTGGGTCGGTCTCCAAGACTGCGGTAAATGACGGCATCAATGGCTAGGAAGTCGGTAACCGTGGCTGTGAAGAGCATTCCTTCTGGATGGGAGTGATGGGGGAAAGCAGGTGAGAGATTGGATCATAGAGGCCAGAGGCTGTGTGGGTCAATACTTGATCTTCCAAGACTCAGTCTACCTCACTGAGCCCAAGTTATCCTGTCTCTAGGCTGAGCCCTGACCACATCTAAGCCCCGAGCTCAGGCTGAGCCCCAACCCTGCTGAGGCCCTGAGCCCAGATGAACCCCAACTCCCACTGAGCCCCAACCCCGGGCTGAGATTCTGCCTATTTCACAGCTGGACAGACAGTCTCCCAGTCACCTTTTAAATGACCCCAACTCCAAGAGTGGAAAATGCCATGCCTTGCTTGAGGCTGGGGCCCCATCATGTGGTCAGAGTTGGGGGGACACTCACCAGAGAAGAGGGCGACATTGGCGTGTTTGGGGTCATATGGGCAGCGGGCCATGCCACTGATGTTGTCTCCGAGGGGCTGTAGTGTGTCTATCTGCAGGGGGACAGGGCTTGAGTGACAGAGCCCCTGGCTACGCCTGGCAGCCCCCTGGCTTCCCCATACCCCCTCCAAGGGGAATCCTGTCTCTATCTTGGATGCTGAGTGACTTGACCACTCACTTAACCTCTCTGGGGCTCAGTTTGTTGATCTCTAAATGGGTCTAGGAGTCAGTTCTAGCTAATCCTGTTACTGGATCATAGGTAAAATAACTAGGGCTTCCCTGACCCTCATAGAGGCCTCCTTTGGAAGTCTCTTGAGCTCTGGGTGAGGAGGCGAGGAGGACATATCCAGTAAGGCTTCCTGTAGGAGGTTATGTGGGCTGGGGAAAGGGCACGGCTAGTGGAAGGCAGGTGAGCAAAGGTCAGGAAGTTGGGCCTGGGCCACCAGGACTTTGAAGGGTAGAGACTCACACTGTAGTTGGCGCACACAGGATTGAAGGCATTGGAACCGCACACAAAGAGGGTGGATTCGTCCCGAAGTAGCAGCACCTTTACAAAGTTTCGACACTCGCCCTGGGTGGGGAGGGAACAGAGAAGCCAAAGTGGGCGTGGTCATGTGTAGGGGCGCAGTCAGGTCTGTGGGCCTTAATAGGGAGCGGCTAGGGTGGAGGGGAGCCAGGACTGATGAGGACTTACCAAGAGGGGCAGGGATGTGGGCGAGTCTAGATCTAGGACCACATTAGGGACATGGTCACAGCTAAAATAGGGCCGGATAGGGGCATGGCTATGATTAAGGGAAGGGCAAGGACAGAAATATCTACTTTCTATCAGCGGCCATTGAAGGGGTGTAGCTATGGCAAGACTTGGCCTAAGGAAGTGGCCATGACTGAGGACCATTTCGGGGTCATGGCCAGGCTCTGGGCGTAGCCATGACAACACCAGGATCCAGGCCTGGGATGAAGGGAGAGGAGGATTTTGCCTTGGGTGTGACCAGGCTGATTGGGGGCATGACCAGGGCCCTCTCACCTCCTGCTTGCCCTTCATCCGACACACGTTGATGTCGCTGGGGTTGGAGCGCCAGGTCAGCTTCTGAGGGCACAGGGAGCTGGTGAGGGGTAAGGGGTACCCAACAGCCCTAGGAACCCCCACTGGGTAGGCCCGAATCCACCTTGCTCCTCAGGGCAATGTCAGCTTCCTCTGGTGAGAGCCCCAAGGGCTGTCCCTTCCCCTCCCACCTGCACCCCATCCTCACCCTCTGGTACCGAAGCTCCGTGGAAGTGGGGGGCTCCAGCTCTACCCGGTACAGGTTGTCCCTGAGGGAGAGGTGCAGTTAGTGAGATTGGGGGCCTCTACCCTCTCCATGTTCCATCCTCCTGGTGGCAGATGTGGTGTCCCACATGGAACATGCAAGGGCATGACAATGCCTCTGCCATGAGCAACTCCAGCACTGAACATGCCCTCACATGCTTGCACGTGCCCTAACAAGTCTCGTGTCTAAAAAGACTCACACGTTTTAGCACACCCATGTGCTTCAACAGGCCACCTCAGGCTTACATACCTGATGGCCTGCGGGCTACACAAAACATGATGAACTGTCTGACTCCTTTACAGCAGGTGCCCCACCCAGCAGCAGCTCTCAGTCTACCCCAGGCTCCCCCCACCCCTCATGTCACAGAAACCTGCCCTGGCCAAGCCCATTGGCCAACTGATATGAGGTAGAGCAGTCACTTCTCTGTTCCCCCCCTCCACCATGTCTGACCCTTGCAGGTCCCCCCTCCTCCTGGGAACTCAGTTCTCACATGGGCCCCCAAACTCACCAGGCTTCCCTCCTACCTTTCAGACTCTCTCTGGCCTTTTCCCTCCCCCAACCACACCCCTTCTGAGCAGCCTGGTCCACTCTAATACTGACTATACCCTCATAACAACACCCACAGTCCTGTCTGCAGCTTGGGCCTCCTCTGAGCTCCAGATTTGGGGGCCAGCTGCCCCTCAACATCACCACGGGGAGTGCTCACAGACATTTCACATCCAATGTGGCCATTCTGAGCCTGACTGTTCCCTTAAACTTGCTACCCCCCTTCCTCTGTCCTCCACCTCTCACTTTCCTCTGTCCATGTCTGTCCTTCTGGGGGTGCAGACCACAGCTTGGAAGTCACCCTCACATCCTCCCCTCCCACATCCAACTCATCAGCTAACACTGTCTCCTCTGCCTTTAATGTCTATTGAGAACTCACCTACTTCTCACCCTCTCCATGGTCACCACCTTATTCCAGCCCTATTATCATCTCCCACCTGGACCAGCTCAGTCCCCCACAACTTGCCCCCACCCACAGTCTATTCTTCCCAAAGAAGCCACCGGAGGGTGACTGCGACCACCAAAATCAGGTTCCCTCCCTTTACCTACAGCTCTGCAGGGCTCCCACCTCCCTCCAGGTAAAAACCTGTCTTCCCGTCAAGCCAGGAGACCCTAAATGACCTGCCTCTGTCTCCTCCCTCCCCTCACCCCCTCCCTCTCTCCCCTCACTCATTCTGCTCTGGCCACACGGGCTTCCTTGCTGTTCCTCTAACAGGCCAGTCACAATCCTGGCATTTGCACGTGCTGTGCCCTCTACCTGGATGTCTCCCTCTCCTCCAAATTTCCTCAGGGCTGACTGCATTATTTAGGTTTCAAATCAAATGTCACCTCCTCAGCACCCTCTGTAGGCACCCAGTAAGTTGTCCCATCTGCTAACACACCACAGCAGGCACTGGGCTCCAACCACACCCAGAGTTCAGCATCCTTAAAAGTCCCACCCCAGCCCTGGCCTATGTAGCTCAGTGATTAGAGCACCAAAGGGTTGAGGGTTCAATTCCTGGTCAAGGGCATGCACCTGGGTTGCAGGAGGCCGGGTGCAGGAGGCAGCCGCTTGATGTGTGCTTGATGTGTCTTTCTCACATCGATGTTTCTCTCTCTCTTTATCCCCCTTC